TGACCTTCATCTGAGTGAACACAATCCAAAAGGCTATGATAAATCGCGTATTATGGCTAACGATCCACACCCAACAAATGAACTGTCTGACTGATATACATTCTGGTATTTAAATTGGAGAGATTCAACTGTACGACGGCACGCATTTCAATTCAGAAAATTTATGTTTTCGGTAACAATTCCTCCGACGAAATTTTGAAAAGCAAACATTGGCCGCTGTACATTCAGCTCGGGAGGGATCATTTAAAGTGGGAGTGATGTCAAGTCCTGGACTAGGTTGAATATTGGGAGAAGAGCTGAAGTTAATGTCATGGCATATATTGACGGACTTGAGTGATTATGGCGAGATATGGCAAAATATTGAAAGCGATCTTGTTGTCTACGGTTACGTGTGGACATTTAATTCGTGTGATGAAGGTTGTCGATAAAATGAGTTCTGAACTTAATGCAAGCACAAACAGATGGAGTTTTAATTCAAAGTTACCTTCCTAAAGCGATCGAGAACAGGGAAGTGTATTAACTAAGATAGCCTGGACTATCAGAGATGCGAATGACGGACGGCACCCTTGGGACTTGCATATGCCGAACTAAGGATATTTCACACCAAAAAACGGCACGATCACTAATATTGTGATCCCTGTCCATTTATTACTTCACGTTAGCTTATAAATGTGCATAAAACAATGAAAACAGACGTACGTCATTTTTGACAATTCCGCCAAATACAAAAATGGGCCGCAAATTGCAACGCAGAAAATTCCGGAGAATTTCGTCGAATTTGACAGCCAGTTCACTGTATTCGCCACCATATATGTAACTGATCTTTTGGTCGCGCAGAACAGTATGTAAAAAATCGAAAGCGTTGATGACGAAGGTTACATCGTGCAGCTGGCTGGGTCGAAAAGCCTCCGGCTCCTGCTCAACGAGTGCCCAAATATTTTTGTTCACAAACATCAAGCAGGACAGTCCAAAACAGAAACCACAATATCTTCGTTATAAGCGCTAAAAAGGGTTAAATACGAATAAGAGATTACAGAAGGGAAAGGGCCATGCCGCTTTGAACTTGAGAATAGAAAAAGGTGTTTAATAACAACCTGAAAAGTTAAAAGAAATAATTTCTCTAGTGACATGCTGGCTTCTTTAATCAATGTTTGGCGGTCCAGATCAACATCTAAGTGAGGTCAATTGTAAAGATCCCAGTTAGCATTTGATTTTAACATAACATTGCACGTCGCAATTGAAAGGTAACGTAATCTATCTTTCTTCGCGTCCTAGATTTGTCTAACACGGGTGGGTGCTACAAATACAACTGACAGCTATTCAAAGGCAAAGAAAACTGGAATGGTAATTAGCAGTTAATTCACAGTCACCAGCTATTGATATATTGATCACACGTGCTGGTTACCAGACTTCTAGACCCGGATCCGAGGCGTTACCCAAAGACGTTCTTACATTAATTAGGAGCCCATATCCAAACGGTAAAAATAGGCAAATTTCAAAGTCGACGAGAAACGGGTCCGTAGATTTAATAGAGAGGCGTTTAACTCAATCCGTCTCATAGAAAACTAGCGCAACCTAGAGCACATTTCTCAAATCGGAGTGTCACTGACTAATCGTGACGACAGTCACGTGGTGTAAGTGGCGGTTATAGTGTTCTTTGTCCTTTTTAGTACAGCGTTGCGGTCCAAATTTAGTCATAGCTCGTGGCTGCACTTCCTGATAGCATCGTCATATCCAGTCAGTGAAAATACACGAGCGACTTCAACTCCGGTTATTGACCTAGTGTCACCCATCTGATTTACTTGGGCGGAATTATCAGGCCGTGGTACACCTACGCACATAGCAAATAAATTAACCGCAATTCACCTAGCACTAAATCGACTCAGAGTGTGTGTGTGTAAAATGTGCTAACATTATATTCAATCACTGGATTAGGCCATCAGCATGGCCAGGATGCCTTTATACTGAGCACAACTCAGTGGCACACACACACACTAGATATCTGAGTGCGGCATTGACGACCGCGGAGTCACCAGCGCCGTCCATGACAGGTGGCAAGCGAGCCAAACTCCCGTCTTGCTAATGCTTGCTGATGTCTTACATATATAGCGTATAGGCAGAATTACATTAGGAAGAAAGACGAGACACTGGAATGGCCATTTCTGGCTTACTAGTTGTCATCAGGCAGACATGTCCAACACCAGTTAGTGTCCCACCCGAAGTTTGAACACGCTACCTTATTAGCTAGAAGTCCACTGCTCTAACCACTGCCCAAGGGCTCGTTGCCTTGCCGGTTTCGATCGGGAATATACAAAAAGGCGGATAGGTGCCCAACGATCGATTACATGACGCCAACTAAAATGTTTAATTGAGCCTCTTGATTGCAGCTAATTTTCCATTAGATTGAGCGCAAATTTATTGGCAAAAACGTTGCCTTTTAGGAATTATGCTTTAGACGATTAGCCTCCGTCAGTAGACTCACGATAATACCCAAAGGTGTGAGACAAAAGCACTGTCAACACACCGTATTTAAAAGTCCGGTTGACAGTCTGGGCGACTAAAGTGCAAGCGGAATTTGTGGTAGAATAGTAAGTTGTCAAATGTTAAGGCAGACCGCAAACAGCCGCAATCACATCAAACTAAACAAGGTGCCCATCTAAGTAAGCTAAACTGACAACTATTTGAGGTAAGAAACAAAGACTGCTGTCGCAATAGGGGTTGAGATGAGACAGAAGGAGCGGCAACCAGGCAGCAGGTTCATATGTAGGCCATTGTTCTTTTTCTATTTTGGGGATTTACCTGCATTTATTTATATGCATCACTTGTATAGCTTTGTTTGAAAATATCACTTTTTCTGCATCTTGGTTAAAGTGCTCCAGGTGCCTGAGCGACTTCTACTTCTGGCGTGCTGAGAGCGTGCAGCAATTACTACATACCCCTTTGATGGATCTCTTTAGGTCAGCAGCTAAATCATCTCAACTTTTGGGCACCGCTCTTGCGGCATTTGAGGCAGCCAAGAACGCACCTGGTGTGCCAAATATTGCTGTCGGCGCAGTCCTGCATCAACAGGTGAGCAACCAGTTGCAACCGCTGGCTTTCTTCTCACAGAAACTACAACCAGCACAGACTCGCCGCAGTACTTTT